GATGACCTCCTGAGATCCCTTCCAACCGTGATATTCTATGATTCTATGATTCTATTTCCTGGCCCTCAGCCTTGCACTAAACATGTCAGCAGGTCATTGGGCTGAAAGTTTGTCCCAGGGCTGGTGAAGCTGGATGAAGCAGGGTGTCTGGGATGCTGTGAATTGTGGCCCATTGATTTCAGCTCTGTCCAACTATTTGGCATTGCCAGAGCGGCACAAACATGCATGGCTGAGTGTGCATGTTGGGGTGTGTGTTTGTATACGTTGGGTTGTGTATGTTTGTGTGTGTATGCATGTATGTACACATTCGTGTGCTCACATGTGCATGGTTTTCTCTGTGTGTGTGTGTGTGTGTGTGTGTGTGTGTGTGCGTGCATGCATGTATGTGTGGTAGTTTGGGCGTGATTGTTGTAGCCAATTAGTTCATTTTATCATTCACTTAGCACTGTATTATCTACGGCTATGGTTATTTCATATGTAATCAATGTGTGCTATACGGATGTATCAGTATAGATATAAGCAGGATAGGATTATAGAATTAAAAGACTGACAAGTATTCAGGAGTGCTGAATGTGTATTAGGTATATAAGTAAAGCAAGGATGTAATGCAAGGCCTACTGCAAGATTTCAGCTTAGCCACACTAGCCCTTAGGTTTAAGGAAGCTTGATGTAAGTGGGTGACCTAAGAATAACCATACGCCAGGAAGGTTACAAGATTACTGGAATGAATGTGCCAATAGGTGATGTGCCAGAAAACTAGATGGCCATGTACCATTCTGGACCTCAAGACACGTGGTTGTTACATCATGGGATGTTCTGCTTTGACCACAGGTTACCATGGACACATGTTTGCATAGATGCTAATGAGAATAAGAGGAACTAAGAGAACAACCTATGGAAAGCAGGGCATCCCAACCTTTATGGGGTGAAGAAGTACAGATATGGAAAAGGAGGGTCGGAACCCTCATACATATGCATAAGGTGATGGGCATGGTCAGAATAACAAGATAAGAGAAGTTCCCTGGTTGGGCTGAAGTGGGAAGACCCGAGGGAAGACCCAGCAGGGAAGACCCCAGCAGGAACCACCCCTTTGTAGATGACCACCTGTTGGGAGATCCATCAGACTCTGTAAGATCTTTGGGATCTGAGTATGAATATGGCATTAGCCACTCCATGGACTTCCTTGGGGTTTATGCATTCATTGGTAATTGCAACTTTCATCATTTGCTTAATAAAACTTCTAGTGCAGATGAGACGCCGAACTTGTGAGTGTGTTTGTGGTCACTGTCCTCATTCTTTGTGCATTCATAGAGCCTCCCGATCTCAGAAAATCACTAAACGTGACTGTCAACTTTTTGAGCTTGAAACTTTAACACCAGGAGCTTGAAACTTTAACACCTCACTGAGGCTTCAACCGGCACCATTAATTCTAATAGTGGCTACATTGTATGTGTTTGTGTGTGCATGGATGGGTGTGTATTTCCATGTGCCTGTGTGCATGCTTTTTGTGGGTGCAAGTGTTCATGGTTGTGTGCACGGTTTTGTGTGTGTGTGTGTGTGTGCGGATAGCTGTGGCAGGTCATTCACTTTTCCTTTATAACTGATCATTCTTCCAGCTGGAATCGTAGGACATTAATAAAGTTCCCAGACTTGAGGCCGCTCTGTGTAAATCCTGCCTGCCCCAGCCAGGCCCCTGCAATAAACCCCAAGGGCTGAGTTTGTGTTCTTTGGGGGGTTTTTTCCTGATGGTGAAATGAGAAGAGTCCCTGGGACGATCATCACGATGCCATACCCGAAATCCACAAGTGCCCAACTGTGTCCCACAGCGGGGCTTGGCGCTGGGTTTGTCTGTACAGCACCTAGTGCAATGGGTCCTGCTGTCACTTGGTCCCTCAGTCACACCTTACTATAAATAAAGAATAATAATGATCTCTGCCCACAAGGTGGCAGCGTCGCTCCAGAGGGGGAAGCCATGTGAAGACACCTGGCCAAGGGGGTGAACCGTCCTCATCCCAGCAACAAAGCAGATGGTCCTGACTGTGCCCTGTCCCCAGGGAGAGAGAACAATTGCCAGGCCCAGCAAAGGAGAGAGAATGATCTCCAGGCTTGCTATGGGGGGCTGACCCTCTCCTTTAGGGACTTCCCAGTTGAGGGACATTTTGGCTGAAACCAAACCGTGAGCCCCCCATATCCCATGGGCCTGCCCTTGGGGCTGATCCTCCAGGGCACTGAGCTCCAAACTCCCGTCATGTCCCTGGGAGCAGCGGGTGCTCAGTGTTGGGCAGAGCACAAGCCAGAGACCCTCACCCAGGGTTCCCTGCATCCAGCCCTGACCTCGTGTCTTTTGGAAAGTGACACCCAGTGAGGGAGAATCCAGCCAAGGTAGGCTGAGGGGATGAGGCCAGGCTCCTCCTCACGCCGACAGGTCACTCCTTGGGGGGTTGGAGTTAGCACAACGTACACGAGAGGGAAATCAGGGCCCGAGCTCATGGAGTTGAAGCCTGGATCTGAGCAAGGTAGGAACCTTCTCCCTGCTGCAGCCAACTGAGCAGCCCCACCTCTGAGCACCAGGAGAGGCAGCTCTGAAGGGCTTTATGTGGCTGATGCAGAGCATGCCAGGGGCATCAGGACAGCGCAGCCAAGCTGGGCACGCTGACACGCTCTGGGGAGCGGAGCCACCAGCTGCTGTGGGAAGAGCCCGAGAGGCAGCACAGGAAAAGCACCACTGACAGGAGTCCAGGCACATGGAGAGCTCAGTGCTTTGGGGGAGCACTGCCTGGAGTGGGTTCAGGTAACACGTTGTCCCTGGGCAGGGCGTCAGCAGCAGGGATGTACCTATCACCCCTGTGCTTACATACGACCCTCTGCTGCCTGAGCTGAAAGGCCCGGCTCTGTCAGGCTGGGCTGTAACAGGCTCGTTAGCCTCTCTGTGTGGCCCCGGCACCACTGGAGGGACAGAGCACCTCCCGGCACGTGGCGGGTTACAGTAATATCCATAGTCGCCCCCTCCAAGGTCCGGCTCAGACAAGCTCTGCCCGGCATCACTGGCTTTGCACTGAGCCAGTCAGCCCGTGGGCTGGAGCCAGAGGCACGGGGCAGGTCAGCAAACCTCCCTGACCCTGGTAATTGCAAACCTGGGCTGAGAATCAGGGGCGTGAAGGGCTCGGGCCAGGCAAGGCCAAGGTCTGGTGGGGCCATCGTGACACCCAGGTGCCAGCAGGTCCCCACAGGGGCTGGGACAGCTCCAGGGTCATGTTCTGTGTTTGCCAGGTTCTAGGGCCTGGCAGGCGACTCCCCATTGGAGCCAATGGAGACCCGCATGCGGCCCTGGCCCTAGGTCAGTATAGTTCAGCCTGTAACACCTCTGTCAGCTGCTCACTGTGGTTATTGCTCCTCAGACTGGGAGCTCCTTGGGGCAGGGACTGTCTCTCACTAGGGGCTTGTACAGCGTCTGGCACAATGGGGCCCTGATCCTGGTCAGGGCCTTTGGATGCTACCACTACACTAGCGATCATAAATCCTTCTCAGCAGACAGGAGTCAGTATTCACAGCTCCCGGCCCACCCTAAGCCATGTGGTCTGTTTCTGTTCACTGACTGGATGGGGGTAGGAGTCAGGTCTTTGTGTGAACATCTGCCACAGTCAGTAGAAATCCAGGGTGTCTGTGAAAGATCCTGGGGGAAAGTGGTGCCAGGATCTTCGTGGGCAGTGGAAACCAACAGAGTCAGAAGCGCGCAGCGCACTGGGCTAAACATTCAGAGGAATGTTCCTCAGTCATGGTGAAAATCCTGGTCTGCTGAATCTATGGGAGTTTCGTCATCAATGTCAGTGAGGTGAGGAGTCCATTCTCCATGTTTGCAGCACTGGGCCAGTTCTGGCCCATGACATTCAGCCTCCCTTCAGCCTAAACTCGTCACAGATCCACTCCTGTGCGGTAGCCTGGCACGTTGGGTCTGGGTAGCAATGAGTGCCATCTCTGACTGTAATGACACGGGGATGGTCCATGAAAGTGAAAGGTGGCAAGTTCAGCACTGATCAAAGGAAATGCTTTCTTGCTCAATGCGTTATTAGACTGTGGAACTCACTGCCACATGATGTCATTGAGGCCAAGAATTTAGCAAGATTCATTTAGGGATTGGACCTTTATCTGGATAACCAGAATAGCCGTGTAATATTGGAAGGGAGACAAAACCAGTGCACACAGCATCTCAGTGCTGGCTTTAGCTGGGTAGATATTGCTGACTGTGCCAAACTAACAACCATCCATTGGGACTGAGCTGGGACAATCAGAGCAAGGATGCAGGACCCAGGGGGCATATTCTGATTGCACTGCCTAAAATGCAAATCTGGATTCAGTCCACTGAAATGAGTGGAGTCACTCTAGATTCACAGTGGGATAATTGGTATCAGAATCTGGCCCTGGGTCCATGGAGGAGAAAGGCAGAGTGTCTGAGCCACCCCAGCCCTGTGGCAGTGTAGGCATAAGAATGAATCACTGATGGTTCCTATCTTATGTAATCCGTGGTGCCCGCCAGTCACAGATCTCCAATCCCTTTCCAGATGTTAATTGCAGCTCCCTGTGCAGTGTCCCCATTCTAGAGATGGGAAGTTGAGGCCCAGAAAGGTTTCAGTGATTTGCTGAGGGTCTCAGACACTAAATCAGCCGCTGAACCCAGGAGTTCTGCTGCCCTGTTCGCTTCTCTAGCCACTGACCACAGTTCCTCCCCTGCAATGTAGTTAGATTCACTGCTGAGGCCTGGCATTATATTAAACCACCAGAAGCTGCACTGGAGCCAATCCCGTGCTCTCAAGGACTGGAGGCAGGGAAAGGAAGAGTTAAGCCATTCGCTGATAGCTGGTGAGCTCATCGGAGCTGGAGTATGCTCCGTTGGTTATTAAGCACTCAACACAGCCTTGTAGACAACGTTGGGGGTGGGGCACGGTTAGCCGGAACTGGGAGATCATAACACCCACTTACTCCAAATTCCATCCATGTGTGGGGCAGAGGAGCCGGTCCTGAGCTGCTAGCCATGTAAGTAGGAATCTTTTATCATTGGGATTTAGGAGCACCATGAATAAGAGGAGGATGCGAGTCAGGATGGAGGGGCAGTGTGAATAAGAAGGGGTTATGGGTGGTGATTGAGGAGCATCACGAATAGGAAGGGGCTGCGGGTTGGGATTGCGGAGTTCTGTGGATGTGGGGGGATGCATGTTGGAACTGAGGATCTGAACCTCGGACTCGGGGGCTGGGGAGTTTCTTGTCTCTGGAGAGGAGGAACCTGTATTTTGCAAAGTAAGCACTGAAAAGGGACATTTAAATGGTCCCAGATCTGATGCTCAATGGGCAGGTGACACTGGGTGAGTTGCTGGGACCCTCTAAACTATCTCTGATTCTAGAGGCTGCTAAAAACCTGCAATCACAGGATCCTGTCCACAGGGCCAGACCGAGCTGTCAGTTACACCAGCAGAGTAACTCTGCGTGGATCTCAACAGAGTGACTTGAATTTACATCAGTGTAATGGAGATCAGAATCTGGCCCCCCATCTTCCATTGAACAACTCCTGGGCAGCTTAAAACCCTTTGTACCATATGTTTCCCCTATTTCTGCATCTGTAGCCAGAGTTTTGGAGTCTAAATAGCCTGTGTCTGGGGACATCTTCCCAAGCACACACCACACCAGAGACCTTGTCACACACGGGGAGTAGCAGAGGGGCGGGGTGGTTGGTTTAATGTGCTGAACTGCTTTTGAAGGGCTCCATACTGCATGCCTTGTGCAGGCAAAGCTCCCCCTGAAGTCAGTGAGAGCTTTGCCTGTGGCCGGACTGCAGGATCATGCCCTTAAAAGATCAACACAAAGTGATGCAAAGCTCAATAATCCTGGGGTGCTCCTGGGGGCATTGATGGGAGGGCTGGCCGTTGGATTGCCCACTGAGCATAGAGGAGACAGTTAATGTAGCCGGTTCCCTTGTCTCTGAGAGTGACGTGCCCACGTGCCGGGACCATCTGTGGTGAGTTCACTTTTTAAAACCTTCATTCCTTCAATAATCAGATGCACTCTGTGGCCCTTCACCCAGATGCTTTATTCCCAGTCAGTCTCAGCACCAGTGCAGGTCAGTGACCGGTTGGCTTGCTCCTTTAAGTTCTGCTGCGCTTGAAGGTAAAACAAACCTGTTGCTCCATGTGTGGTCACCTCACTGATGTACCTGCTCACTGGGGTGGATGAAGGTGGGGCTCCCAGCACCTTGTCTGTACATTTCATTTCGCCCAGCTTGGGATCGTGTCACCTCTGGCACAAAACGAAGGGGAACAAGCCAGTTTCTGTGTCATTCACTAGCGCTTCGATTGTGTGGTGAAGGGACTATAGAAAACCCAAACACGGACAGAGTCACCGTGACAGGGGCTCTAAACTCCTAAAACCGGGGGGGGGGGGCATTAATTATGGTAAATTCCTTGATGTCGCCAACAACCCAAATAGATTCAAAGATTCCAAGGCCAGAAGGGACCATTGTGATCATCTAGTCTGACCTCCTCTATCGCCCTGGGCAGAGAACTGCCCCCAAGAAATTCCTAGAGCAGAGCTTTTAGAAACACACCCAGTCCTGATTTGAAAATTGTCAGTGATGGAGGGTGCACCATGACCCTTGGTAAATTGTTCCAATGGTTAATTACTGTCACTGTTAAAAATGTTATTTCCAGTTTCAATTTGTCTACCTTCAACTTCCAGCATTGGATCATGTTAGACCTTTCTCCACTAGACTGAAGACCCCATTATTAAACATTTGCTCCCCATGCAGATACTTACAGACTGTGATCAAGTCACCCCTTAACCTTCTCTTTGTTAAGCTAAATAGATTGAGCTCCTTGAGGCCAGGCAGGTTTTCTAATCCTCTAATCATTCTCATGGCTATTCTCTGACCCCTCTCCAATTTATCAACATCCTTCTTGAATTGTGGGCACCAGAACTGGACACAGGATTCTAGCAGCGTTCACACCAGTGCCAAATACAGAGGTAAAATAACTGCTCAACTCCTTCCTGAGATTCTGCTGTTTATGCATCCCAGAATCGCATTAGCCCTTTTGGCCACAGTGTCACACTAAGAGCTCATGCTCAGCTGAGTATCCACCATGAACCCAAATCTTTTTCAGAGTCCCTGCTTCCCAGGATAAAGTGCCTCATTCTGTAAGTACGGCCTTTCTTCATTCCTAGATGAATACTTTTACACGTAACTGTATTAAAGTGCATTCTGTCTGGTTGCACCCAGTTTACCAAGTGATCCAGGTCTCTCTGTATCAGTGACCTGCCCTCTTTATTATTTGCCACTCACCCAATTTTTGTGTCATCTGCAAACTTTATCAGTGACGATTTTATGTTTTCTTCCAGGTCATTGATAAAAATGTTAATGTAAATGTAGGGCCAAAAACTGATACTGGCTGGACCCGACTGGAAACACACCCCTCAGTGATGATTCCCCATTTACGGTTACATTTTGAAAACTATCAGTTAGCCAGTTTTTAATCCATTTAATGTGGGCCATGTTAATTTTATATCGTTCATTTTTTTTTTATCAAGATGTCGTGCGGTACCAAGTCAAATACCTTACAGACATCTCAGTCTATCATGTCAACACTATTTCCTTATCAACCAAACTTGTAATCTCATCAAAAACAGATACCAAGTTAGTTTGACAGGATCTATTTTCCATAAACCCACGTTGATTTGCTTTAATTAACTCCCCCTCCTTTAATTCTTTATTTCTCAACTCCTCTCTCAGCAGCTTCATTATCTTGCCTGGGATCGATGTTAGGCTGAGAGGTCTATAAATACTGGGGTCATCCCATTTACTCTTTTTAAAAATTGACACATTAGTTTTCTCCCAGTCTTCTGCAGTTTCCCCGAGGCTCCAAGATCTATTGAAAAAAGAACGAGGAGTACTTGTGGGACCTTAGAGACTAACAAATTTATTTGGGCATAAGCTTTCGTGGACTAAAACCCACTTCATCAGATGCATGCAATGGAAAATACAGCAGGAAGATATATATATACACAGAGAACATGAAAAAATGGGTGCTGCCATACCAACTCTAACGAGACTAATCAATTAAGGTGGGCTATTTTCAGCAGGAGGAAAAAAAACTTTTGTAGTGATAATCAGGATGGCCCATTTCAAACAGTTGACAAGAAGGTGTAAGTAACAGTAGGGGGGAAATTAGCATGGGGAAATAGTTTTTAGTTTGTGTAATGACCCATCCACTCCTAGTCTTTATTCAAGCCTAATTTAATGGTGTCCAGTTTGCAAATTAATTCCAGTTCTGCAGTTGCTTGTTGGAGTCTGTTTTTGAAGGTTTTTTGTTGAAGAATTGTGACTTTGAGGTCTGTAATTGAGTGACCAGGGAGGTTGAAGTGTTCTCCGACAGGTTTTTGAATGTTACAATTCTTGACGTCTGATTTATGTCCATTTATTCTTTTGCGTAGAGACTGTCCGGTTTGGCCAATGTACATGGCAGAGGGGCATTGCTGGCACATGATGGCTTATATCACATTGGTCGATGTGCAGGTGAACGAGCCCCTGATGGGGCTATTGAAAACATGTTAAGGAACAATAGGAATCATGCCCAGCTGCAATGGCATTGTTTGTTAACTGCCATCATAACTTTTTATTGAAAACTTTTACACGCATGAAAAGGGCAGACAATCCAGGGGACACAGTGAGGTGTGTCTCCATAGGCTGGAGAGCTGCCATTCCAGAGCAGTTTGATATCCACACACCTTCTCTTTATGATCACACGCATGTCGCACTGTATAGATTCCTCCTTTCCATCCACCACAAAGACGCCTGTAAATCCAGATGGCGCATTGAGAGATTCCAAGATTCACAGATTCCAAGGCCAGAAGGGACCATTAGAGCATCTAATGTGACCTTCTGCATAACCCAGACCAGAGAATTTCATCCTGTTGCTCCAGTGTTGAGAGTAATAACTTGGGATCCGGTAGCCTTGAAATGAAGACTGGAGAAAAATACGTATTGTTGAAAAGGATTTTCCCACTTTTACCAGCTCTCCGTTTGTTTACTGACTTAGTCGATTTCTGTTTTTTTGTTACTGAGAATCTCTAGATTTCCTGGTAGTCGGAAGCCAAATCCGATTTCCGTTTCTTAGCAATCGGTGGAGGGGACAAAAAAAAACCCCAAAAAGTCTCTCAGGAAACTTAGACAAACCAGGAAATGTTGGGAATTTCCTGCACAAAATAATTGACCTTCCCAGAGTCCCACGCAGCACAGCAGCGAGAGGAGAGTGATGCCCTGGGTATTTCTTGACAAACTGCTAAGGATTCTTGCCGGTGGCCAGGCACCTTGCTGGGGTGTTGGAGTCGGGGATGTGGCATTTGTGACTCCTGGTTCCTCCCTTTGGCTGGAAAGTGGCATTAGGCTGGGGAAGACCTAGAAGAGGCCCTATCTCTAGGGGTAGGCAGAGTGGGCAATGGTGGGGGAAATGTTGCTCCCGCTGGGGACTTGCTGATCTTTTCCAGCCTTGGGCATTGGCCTTTCTAAGGGCAGCGGTGGTGCAACTGTCCCCGTGTCAGCAACAGTGGGGATTGAACCTGGGTCCTCTAGATTGCAGTGCACATCCCTCTGCTACCTGAGCTAAAAGTCCTGGCTCTATTAGCCAGGCTGTAGCAGGCTCATCACCTTCGGTGCGTGGTGACCAGGCCCAGGAGTCACGCTGTGGCACCAGGGGCTCATTTGCAGAGCACTCAGGGGCAGGGCAGGGGCTGGCCAGAAGGGGGGAAAGCTGGTCGCTCTGCACAGCGTGAGGTGCTGGCACCAGCCATCCTGTCAGGGCATTGAGCCCTGCAGCGCTGAGATAGCAGCACCGGTCAGGGCTGTGAGCCATGCACCCCAGCTGTGGGGCCTGTGCCATGTTCAGCGCAGCCAAGTACCAGGGAACTTCCCACTTCACCCAACCCCTGAGCAGCTTCCCCTGGGGCTCTCCACAGCTCCCGGCCCTCCTGATCAACTCTGGCCCATCCTGGGT